AAGAGAAAGCTTCGTCGGAAATTGCATGGGATCAAATCCTTAAATTCAATAAAATCAAAGCATTTGAAAGAAGTAGAGTCTACAGAGAAGGTGAGCGAGGATGTGAGGGCACCATCTAATAATCGTGAATAGCTTCCAAAAAATACAGAAATTTTGAGTAATTAGGCTGTGATTGATTCAAGAAATAATTCTTTTAAAGAATAAAAATGTTATAACTGACTAGAAGTACTTTTTGTTCAAAAGTTTAAAAGGTAGCTCACATATTTGTGGAAATTATCGACACAATCTACAAAAAACTGACTTTCATCTTACATATTAAAGGTAGTGAATAGAGAAGTTGTCTGAATGTAAGGATAATCAATTACTAATGGTATACATGGTTTAGTTGCAGAACAAACACCAAATCGAGAAAATGCTACCTAATTGGCCGATAGTCGCCATCTTCATTTTTAATCGTTCTCATTTGCATTTTGCATCGTTAGGTCTTCTAAAGGCTCAAATTACCCAACTTTTCTTTCACTGGAAGATATTTTGACGCTTTCTTTAGAAATTAATCTCTATAATTTCTGAGTAGAAGTGGATATTAAATGACAATAACGTGTGTTGAAATCCATTCAAATCATGTGACAAGCTGAGTCTCTTTAATATGATTATTTGTGCGTTTGCACAAAATTGTCTAATATTGTAACTTGTTTGAAAAAAAAACTCAAAAGTAAATGCGGATTACTTACAGGATCCCTCAGCTTCTACATTCCTTGGTGGCTGGACGGATTCCGTTGAAGCAGACAAGGTCTATTTCACTTTACAATCAATATGCATTCAAATCATTGCTCGCGATTTAGGGATACGTCCAAGTAACTCCTACCACTACTCCAATGCCAAGGACATTAGCTGTAGTCGTGCAACCTATACTGAAGTACGTAAGACAATTTGTACAAGAGAGCTTTGTAATGGGATTTTTAACGTAGAAAATTGTTAGTGGAAAGCTATTAAATTTAGGCATGGATCCAGTAGAGAAGACTCATCATTTCCAGCTCTATTTGTGGTAACTTTTAATATCTGATGCATATCGTGCATTTGGTGTAATTACGTAGCAAATATTAAATCCACAGGAAGCAAAACATTCAGTGCTACATCGTGGAACGGACTTAACATATGCTGACTTCAGACTTTTATATATGTCAATACTCTAAGTGCACGATAAATTGATTTTAACAATTCCAGCTGGCTAATAAATCAATATTCATCAATATAGGCCCAAAATGGTCAACAGCTTCCCAACGAATCTGATCAAGAGCAATACCTCAAAGCCTACTATGAGCAATACTACAAAGAGTGGTACAGGTCTGCCTAAATTGTTGATTTCTATGGATTTTCTTGATTAATTCGAAATTATGCAGACAACACAACGAAGCCAATGGAGAAGCAGATGCATCATCGAGTCCTCTGCCAAGACGTAAAATCAAAATTCAGTTTGGAAAAACTGGCGATTACAAAGAGGTTAGTGTTCAGAATTAAAGGAATGATTTTGATTCTTCCCTTAATGAATTTTCAACATATTTTTTCCCGCTTCTTGAAAACAATAAGTCAGGGAGGCATGGAAGTAAGGGTTAGATAATGTGGGAGTTGGGAGCCGACGTGTCTGAGGCGGCGTGGATGCGCAGGAGGATGTTAAAGTTACATTTCGGACAGCGTGCCCCACTAGTGGGACATGCCCAAACTTAAAACAATTATTTTCCAATTTTTTTT